TGCTCCTAAACCTAGTAGGCTCGTATTCATATAAAGCTGGTTGAGGACTATGAAACTTTATTTTATTTTTTTGAGGAAATGAAACTTTGTATTTCATCAGAAGGAACCTGTTGTTTGTGAAATTATTTGAATTGTAAGCTTCCTACTTTAGGCCAACACCAATGATATTAATAAAGCTATTAGGAAGAAGCAAGTTATGAATAGGGTAAAAGAAGTTTAATATTTAAGAAAATTGACTATTCCTTTCATGCACATTTAAAATGGAATCCCTGACTTAGGAGTATTTTTTTTTTTAATTTGGATTATCATGGACTAAATTGAAATATCTTATCAGCCTTCTCTATCCTCCTTGTTCATTTTGAAGTATTCCGTAGTACACAACTCATGTGTCTCAGATTAAGGAACAATTGCTAACAACCTCCTTTGTAAGGCTACATGCATCCAATTCCTTTATCCTATTCTGAGCGAGAAGTTCTTTACTTAGAAGGCATTGTGGCAATGTAGGCAGTAAGCCTAATTGATGCGCAGGGCAGCCCAATGAGCACAATGATAGGATCAAGTTAAGAGGGTTCTTGTTGAACAACGTCAAATTAGGCCAAATGACAGCTTAACAATTTTTGGCATGATGTCTTCCTATTTCATCTTCTCTCAAATCTCCCTTAACAGAATATAGTAATACTCGAGAAGGTATGTTGAAACCTAGTTCACTTGCTAAGTCTTTTTGCATTATCACTTCTCTAGTTCTCTATCTTCCCTATAGTGGCCCATAACCCACATGGTCCAACTTGTCCAGCCTGTTAACATGACTAATCAACTATTAGCTTGCTCCTACCCAACGAATAGCTAGGCTTTCTACTTTCTACCAATGTTGATGCTGAAGGTCTCTGGTCCTTAATCTAGGAATTGCCTTTTAAAGCCTATTAAGACTACCCATCTCTTGCATTCATTTAAGCTTTTGATGATAAGTATTTATTTTAAAATCTTTAAATGCTACCTTTACAATCCTCCTTGACGCCAATTGTTGAAATGTAAATACAATCATGAGCATACTTTTAAATGGATGTTAGTCCATATCTTCAAAACCCAGTCAACCATAATATCCCCCCCCCCCCCCTCTTTTCCACGCACACACCCCACTTTACTCGTTTTTCATGCGAGACTGCTACATTACATAACGGTATTTTGTTGCCCCATATTTGTATTTTAATATTTTGTCTTGTAGTGCATCCTAATGAAGCGTGTCTAATTCAATTTTCAGGTTATTTCAGTTGTTGAGCGTAGAGCTGACCAGCTTGATTATGTGCTGGTGGACACACCTGGGCAGATTGAGATATTTACTTGGTCAGCCTCTGGAGCCATAATTACGGAAGCCTTTGCGTCTACTTTTCCTACTGTGATTGCTTATGTAGTTGATACCCCTCGCTCTTCAAACCCAACCACATTCATGAGTAATATGCTATACGCTTGTAGCATTCTTTACAAGACACGGCTGCCTCTCATATTGGCATTTAATAAGACAGATGTAGCTCAACACCAGTTTGCTTTGGAGGTAGGTTTTATTCAGGAGTTTTATAATTACTGATCTGTGAGACATTTACTTTTATGCATGTAACTTTCATGAACATTTTGTTTTGATCTTTTTCATAATATGCATCACATCCAAGAAAAATGCAACTTTGATATGGATGGTGTGTTTCTGAAGAAAATTGTTATTGATCTGCTTAAAATGTCATCTTAATTGCCCCTGTGGGATTGGGAGCTGAAGGGTATCTCTTTGGATATTGGATTTTTTTTACCTTGCTTTCCTCTGTATTCTTGTTCTTTTCTTTGCTGTCTGAATCTCCATGTCTGTTGACATGAATTGATTTTTTGGAATTTTTCATTCATGTATCCTGCTTGCATTTAATACCTTGCCTTAAAGGGTACTTGGTGTCTTGGTGTGAAACTTGAAGTCAAATGGATTAACTTACAAAAAAAACCGTGTCAATAGTCTTTTTTATTGCTGAACCTTTTTTTTTTAAATGGTGTTAGTTCCTTTTACGAACACCCATTTACCAGGTCTTTTGCATCTCTTTTTTTTACTCCTCAATTATGGTTGTAAGGCCTAAAGTCCTAGGAAACTTGGGTATTAACTTGGGCATTTATTTGAAGCAGAGAGCTAATGGGTGCTTTCTCTTAATGTGTGTTAGGTTAGTAGCAAGAGGTCTGGGTGCCTTTTGTTTTTTTATTATTATTTTTCTAAACTTTCAGTGAAAGAGGTTGGTTACCATTGTGGACATCAGTTGGGTGTTTTCATGATCCCTTTATGAAGCATTTGCTGCCTTGCTGGCGATTTTTTTTATATATATATATATTTTTTTTTTTTAAAAATTTTGGAAGGCGCAAGAGGAGTAAAGCTTTACCTGCTGGCTGCTTGCATAACTATTCCTAAAAAAATGTGGATGAGATGTTTTTTTTTTTTTTTTTTGACTTGGAATCTATGTGAGATAGTGTTTCCCTCCTCCTTGCTGTGATTGTCTTTAAGATTCCTGATTTAACTTTTATTGATGATATTCAGCACAATTTGCATGGCTTGGTAATCTTTGGCTTGAGCTTTTTTTTTTTTTTTTTTGTGAACAACTCTGCCTACTCTGGTCCTTCCAATGTTGAATTGCTCCTTGTAGTTATGTGACATTGGACATTGTATATTCTTAATCTGACAATATCTGATTAGAAGTTTCAAGTCAATAGTCTCGGTATTACACTATCTCTGATATCAATGTGGTATCTTTCAGAAAGATGAAGAAAGCTTGATGAACTTTTTACTTATCTAAAGTCTACTTTCAAAAAAATTAGTAAAAAATAAAAATTCTTGTGTATGCTTTTTGTCTGTCCAACAAATGTATAGCAACTCCATGCTCTCTCCCAGACTAATTGCTTTAAATTTCTTGGCTGATAAGCTTAGCTGAATACAAGTAGTATTATCATTTTTAGTCAAGGCTGCACTGCCATTGGTGACCAGCGGTTTGACATCGTTCTTATTATTCATTCCTACCTGTACAAACCTAGTTTTCAGTAAGTTTAGTCTCATTTTTCCTCAACCTCTTTTTTATAAATAGGAACAGCCTTCTGTATCCATGTGGTAAACTTGGGAAGAACAAAGAGAGATGACTAATTTGTTGAAGCCTGATAATTCAACTTACGAATGATTTTTTTATTTTTAATCTAGTAACAGTTTCTGTCATCAGGTATAATTTTTGATGATCAATTGTTAAGGTTATATATTTACCAGAATGGGTATAATCTTTGATGATTTCCTTATTTACTACTCTCTCTGTTCCTTATTTTTTTCCCCTTTTGACTTTTCACGGTCTCCAAACGTATATATCTCCATTTTGATACGCGTAAAAATTATATAAACTTTATTTTAATAAAATATACAATGAGACGTGTCTAACAAGATATCACATAAACATATTATCACTTATAACGAGTATTCACGGTCAAAGTTTTTAAAAGTTTGACCCATATATTCACAATGGGCAAAAAATAAGGGACAAAGGGAGTACCAATTACCATTATAGCATTAGTACACTTCTTCACACTGTTGGGACTTCTTTGATTTGTGTTTTATGCTTTTCTTTTCGACATTCCCTCTTCCCAATATACTTGCTCCAATTTTCATTTGGGCGCCCAAATTATTATCCCTCTTGCTCCATTTTCCTACTTGCAACTAAACAATGGAGCAAGTAAATTGGGGTGGAGGGAGTACAATCTAGCTTCTTCCAAGTGTTTTGAGACTTGCAAATTGGCCATTCTTGGGTTATCACGGTGCTTTGCATTTACTCATGTGACTGTTTTCTGTAGTATTCAGCAATTATGACTTGCATGAGCTTACCTTATGTAATACTCAATAACTCTATAGATTTGGATCAAAAATTTCCATTATTGTATATGTGATGATTTTTTTTTTTTTTATCCTAGAATGCTATCTTCAACTTTGATCCTTGCTTTCTGTAAGTGAACTGATTAGGCCTTTTACTGCAGTGGATGGAAGATTTTGAGGTGTTTCATGCAGCCCTTGAGTCTGATGAGTCCTACACTTCGACCTTGACTCGAAGCCTGTCTCTTGTCCTTGATGAATTTTATAAAAATCTAAGATCAGCTGGAGTTTCTGCACTTACTGGTGCTGGGATGAATGAGTTCTTCAAGGCTGTTGATGATAGTGCTGAAGAATTCATGGAGACTTACAAGTAACATAAGGATAATTTTCATTCTCTTATAGAAAACTTTTGACTGCATTAATGTATTAATTGTGATGTTTTTATAGGGCTGATCTTGATAAGAGGAAGGCAGAGAAGCAACGGTTGGAGGAAGATAGGCGGCGAGAGAACATGGAGAAGCTTAGGAGCGATATGCAGAAGACTAAAGGAGAAACAGTGGTTTTGAGCACTGGTATGAAGGACAAAGAGTCTGGCAGCAAGAGCATGTTGGAGGAGGACGAGGAAGAAGATGAAGATGAATATGAGAGGTCTAGCGAGGAGGAAGAAGCTATGATAGATGATGAAGACGAAGACGATGAAATTACCGGGTTTTCTTTTTGACATATCCAGCAGCCAGAAATCTCATTTTACAAAGGGTATGGGATCTGAGGGAGAGATGGTAGCTTTTCGGTCTTGCCGTGCCTATATGCTTTGCTCAAAGACTCCTATACATTGTCTAATTTGTCGGGAATCGATTAATAGCCCGTTGCCTGTACATAAGGTCTATCTGACACTGCTGGATTGCTGAAACTCTAATTTCTCCATTATTTTGTAACTGAATGGGGTTAGCGAATGGACTATTGGAACTTCACCTAGTTCTATATATCATCATGGTGTTTTCTTATACAATGTAACATGCAGTGTTTTAAAACCAGTACAGTCTTTTATCAGTTACTTCCAATCCTTGCTCGTGCTAGCCTGAACTTTTATAATCAAAATTCTGATACAAAATGACTAAGAGTTTTTATGGTAATCAATTCTTTGATTACATTTGCTTTATTATTCCATCCAAACAACAAATACATCATTTTTTGAAGACATACATCAATTCGAGTAAACAAGAATACAAGATCACATAAAGTGATAAAACATAAATGATGTTTTACACATTTGTTGGTATTTGTGGTTTTGCTGTGGCAATACCATACTCACTTGCAACATTTGAAGCACCACCCTTTGGAATAATCTTTTTGTCGCTAGAAATCAAGACTATGTAAGCAACGAGGCCGAGGGCGATGCTGATTATGCTCAATACCCCCGCTGCAATGAAGAAGCCGGATTTCGGAACGAGGCAGCCCTCGTCGAGAGTGTTGGTCGTATCTACAAGGTACCTAGTGGTGTTGAGAATGGCCGCATACATCAGCATTACAAATGCTCCAATGAAGACCAACCTGCATAATTTTATGAATTTACATTATATTTCGATGTTCGAGGTCAAGTAATTTAATCTATACTTTGTATATGATTTTGTGTGATTTTAAAATATTAAATTTTATAACATTATTTGTCATTAAAGTTTTAAATAGACAAAATAATATTCTCTCGAGCTTTTTTATTTTTTCCAATTTGACTTTTTTTGTCTCACATAAAATTCTAAATAAGAAGAACAAATACTCCGTATAATTGTATCAAAAACAGTACAAAATCAACAGAGATGATTTATGTTTAAACGGAGGGAGTACGTAATAGATTATCGCGACACCAGTAATGATTAGTTACTTACCAAGAGAAAATAAAGCAAATAAGAGCTGTTATGCCACTACAAGTTGAAGGACAAGGATTTCCTCTGCAACAAAAACAGCCAGATGCACCACTTATAAGTATTTGCTGAATCAAAAGAATTATTGAAGCAACTATTCCCAGTGCCACCGATGGACTCGTTGGATAAAAACAAGCCCCATCTTCTGTAAATAGTACTTGATCACCCTACAATAATACGAGTATACATTATTTATAATACGAAGTATATTAATACGGAGTACATAATACAAAGTACCAGTATAAGTATAAGATAATGAATTTTATTGAAAAAACTAGATTACTTAAACTCAATCAAATTTACATAAGATTATATTAATAAGACAAATTTGTCAAAAAAAAACTTTTTAAATGAACCATTTTGTAAAAATAACTTTTTAACAGTTTTTTGGCAAAACAAAATCCGATTTTTAACATTTTAGCAAAATAAAATCCAATTGTGAAATTTTTTTTGTTGAAGAGAACCTAATGCCTCTAATTCACTTAATTTAAGCTCTAAATTCTTCTAATTATCCTCTAAGTCTCACTTAACCATTTATTAATTAATTTAACTTATAAATAAATAAAAAAACCAAAAACCACCACCCCCACCACCAGCCAGCCACTCCCTCCTTTTCCCCCTCCCATGGCAGCAGCCCCCTCCCCCGAACCGAGCCACCGCCTTGAACCCCCAACTCCCGGCGACCCACCTCGACTGCCAGCCGACCCTGCTACCTTTCCCGCGCGCTTACCCCGCTGCAACCCTCCCCCCTCCCTAAACCCTAACATCGAGCAATTAATGGGTGTTTCCGGTCAGGTGGCACGCTTCTGCTCCCTCTTCCTTTTCTCTCGTTGACTCACTCTCTCTCCCTCTTTCTCGCAGTCGCCGCCGCGTCGTCGAAATCTCCGAGAATCCTCCGCCACTCGATGTTGATGCTCTCATCGCTGTCTAAGGGGGGAAGGTGAATGGTCGGGGTTAGGGTTTAGGGAAGGGGGAGGGTTGCAGCGGGGGTAAGGGGGAAAGGGAGAGAGGCCGGCCAGCGGTTCAGGGCGGTGGCTCAGTTGGGGGGAGGGGGGCTACTGCCAGGGGAGGGTGGCTTGCTGGTGAAGTGGTGGTAGGGATGATATGGTGGTTTTTATTTTTGTTTATAAATTAATTTAATTATAAAATGGCTAAGTGAGAGTTTTAGGATAATTAGGAAAAAATTAGAGCTTAATTAAGTGAATTAGAGGCATAGGTTGTCTTCAACAAAAAAAATTTAGTTCGGTTTTCTTTTACGAAAAACCTTTTAAAAGATTTTTTTTCCCAAAATGTTACATTTAAAAGGTTTTTCTTGACAAATTTTCCTATTAATAAAATGACATTATTTTTACTAGTATAAGTTTCAAATATTATGAGCCATAAAATTAGGTCTATTGGTGTGAAAGTAAGAAGAAAAATGAAGTGAACAAAATAAAAGGTTACTTATATTATATCAAATTATCAATAAGAGGACATATATATTGGAGACAGGAACACGTATTACCTTAACTTTGGTAGCCTCGGCAACAAAGCCCATAACTACTGCTATTAAACCAAGAACACCAGCAATTACACATACTGCAATGTTTTTTCCTTCCATAATTTTCTTTCTTTTCTTTTATTTAATCTTGCTCTTGCTTACGTTTTGAATTGAGTAAGTTAAGAGAAAAGCTTAGGTTATACAACTATTTTCATTAAAGTAAGCTATATATAGTCAACAAATGTACACTTGTAACAATATGTCTATAAAATTAGAACTTGATGTGTATTATAAATTTATAATTACTTTAATGATAATGTTCAGTCAAGCCCTGCCTAGTTAAGTACTATTTACATACGACTATTGAACTGTCGATCAATTATGTGCTGCATCACGTCTAGTAGACTATTATGTACGTAGTGATTATAAAGAAACTACTTGATATGTATTATAATTATTCTTTTCGTTTCATATTGATATTCGTAGTCATAGTAAGTATACCAAAAATAGGAGGTTAAGTATAAACGATCGATATATTGTGTAAATAAGGTTTTTAAGATAATTTTTTATTGTCGATACACATATTTCTGTAAATCTAGTGTATACATACTTGTAAATACATTTTCCAAACAGAATACAACAATCCATAATGATATGGATTGAAAACAAAAAGTGGGTGGTGGAGTATGTGGGGAAACTAGACTTGATTATTCGACATGTACGATCAGAGTTAGTGTAAGCCAATAACAGGTTGGGTTATAAGACGAAAAACCAATTACAAATGAATACGAAACTATGCATGTATTTTCCAAGTATATTCGGTTACAAAATAATTGAGCAATTATTTAACTTTATATTATTAACCTTATCCCATAACGACCAGTATTTAACTCATGTCCAATAAAAAATCTACGGGGTATTAAATTGATCAACCCAATACGGCAATACCCATTACTCCGTTAGGCTAGCCTGTCCAATAATTAGATCAAGGGGTAATAACTGGACAAATAAATTTGCTTAAAAAGGGAATTGACTGATATGAACAATGTTCTAGAACGCCCTAATATAGGAAGTAGGAATAAAAAAAATAAAACAAAAGGAGTACTCGTATATAATTTTAGAACGTAAGCTTATCCTTGATTATCGGAAATTACCTTAGCTACAATGGCTACAAATGAAGGCTGATTTACAAAAATATAGCTTTTTAAAAAATTATTTACGATTTTGCGTTGAAATGAAACTTATTTACAAAAATACAGTTCACGTAGACTTGGTAATACATTTGGGGTAATTTTTTCTTTAGAGACAAACCGTTACCTTAACTAGCGGTTTTAGTCTAAAACCGCTACTTAAGGTAGCAGTTTGTCTTTAGTACTACAAGTAAAGTTACAGAGTAGCAATTTATAAAGGGTAAAATAAATCGCTACTTGAGGTAGCGGTTATACTATGAAAAATAAAAAAACAAAAATAAACTTTTTCGAGCCTAGGTGGACAGTAATTCTGTAATTAAGTTTCATTCCGACACAAAAGTGTAAATAAGTTTTCAAGTAACCATATTTTTGTAAATCATCCACAAATGAAGATGTTCGTCTCTAAACAATGGTTGTTCTTAGTTTGAGAGTTGACAACGTATTAAATAATAATTAATAAAAATCTTATGTATACTTCAATGCTTTTAGTAACATGCAAATGTATTTTTATAATGACACATTTATATTTACTTTTTTTTTTTTTTTTTTTTTTTTGAGAAAACATATTTATATTTACTTGTATATTTTTATTATTTATATATAGCAATGTGCTCACTTTTATAGAATGTAAATAAGGTTATATAATTTACAAGAACATATAATAAGTAGCAATTTGCTCCATTTTGATTTGATCGTTGACGTCAACCAATAATCAGTTCATAGACCGTTGAATAAATAGAAAACTAAGCTGGAAATTTGCCATAACTGCGCTACTATACTTAATCTAACGTAGAAGAAAGCCTAGTAGATGCATGTGTTTACAGGCTACAACAAATCTCCAACGTAGAGGTGGAGATCAATCGATCAATTATGTTCGTATCGTGGTTTTGACAAATTATAATATTATTTTGATCTTAATTATTTTGTATTTACAGCTTTTGATTTATATTTTAGAAGTCGTATGACTAAGATCCTGTTCTTTAAAGCTGCTCTACTCTGCTTTTGATTTATATTATTAACTTAACTTTTGATTTATATTATTAATTTAACTTTTGAGTAAAATAAAGTTCATATATACATACCTAATGGTCAAGGTCTCCTCGTAACTCTTAAGAGAAAATGTGGAACATGATGTACCAGGTACAACCTATTGTGTGTATTCCACATTTCTAAAGTTTATTTTCAAAGGCATATAAATTTTATTACTTGACTAGTTGAATGTCACCAAATTGATTATATAATGATGTTGCACTCGTTATGCACTCAAACATCCTGAAGGTCTCGTGAAAATCTAAGGATGACATTGAGCCATTGAGGTGATAAACGTAAGTATATAATACGTACATGTAACATTAGATTTATCTGTTGGGTGGAGAGGGGGAAGGAGGAATCAAATTACTTACTGCTTGCGTATAAAGATGCCTGAAACCACTCATTGTACTGCTCTTGTTGCCAATGATGCTTATGCAGGCTGCTTCCAACACGTCCAAACTCCGATCCAAAGTAAACAAGTAATGCAATGGGCGTTACATATGTATAGGCTACACGTTTATTTGGCTTCCATGGTCTATAGGTCTTAACATAATATCCTCGGTTAATTTTTGGTTCAAAGGTGTTGCAAGTGAAGATCCAAGAGAACCTAGAAAAAACAACAATAGTAGCAGGATAGAGTAGGAAAAATTATGCAACCAAGGAATTCTTTAAATGATACGGTCTTCACTTCCTAGGTGTTAGAATCCAACCTCTTTGTTATGTATTCTTCTTTATTTTCCTTATATTTTCCTTATGTAATGTCTCTTTAGTCTTTCTTTTTATTTTTCTAGACCCTAGGAAAAATTATTGTGTTACTGTCATTTCAACGTTCACTTGTAATTCTCTACTAATGCAATATAAAGCTCTTTAGGGAGCGAATGGTTATTCAATCAAAGCTCTCTACCCCGTTGTTATTGCTTTAAGACTTGTGTGTTGTTTAAGCCTTTATAGATATTGTGCTTGCCTTGTTTTAAAGCATCCCCCACCAAACCAAGAGACCCTAGAGACGTCCTCATTTTCGTCGGTTCCGCTTGTGCCCGCTTCGAAGTATCGGCCGTCACAAGCCCCGACTCCGCACTCGTTGTTCTCGTGCGCCCTCTTGAGACACCGTAGGTCCGTGTTGCTGTGTGCTCACGAACCTCCTTGCTTTAGGCTTGCGCCCTTGTCGCCAAAAGACGAGAGCGCGCCGCACGATCTGGTGTTGAATCACTCGGACCGTGACAGTTTGGTATCAGAGCCAAGTTTGCCGTAGAGATGGCAGAAGAAGGAGAGATGCATGAATACACATTCGAGGAAAGACTTGCTTGGCTTGAAGGCAAGTCCGAACAGTGGGCTATGCTTGAAGAAAGGCTGCCCAAACTCGAGGATATTGTAATAAAACAAGCCGACCAAATAGAGAGGCTTGCCGCTACTGTGGATGGGTTAACGGAGCAACTTAACTTCATGCAAGGCGTCGCTGATGAAGCACATGATAAATGTGCAACCTTAATGCGTGCCCAGAGAGGGCTCGGGGGAGTGGAGGTGCCAAGATAAAACCTCCCAAGCCCCGGACCTTCAATGGCACGAGAGATTCAAAAGAAGTCGATAATTTCATTTTCGACATGGAGCAATACTTTCGGGTCTGTCAGTTGGAGAATGAGTTAAAAGTTGATACCGCCACTATGTATTTGGTGGATGATGCAAAGCTTTGGTGGCGCACCAAGTACACCGACATCCAAGCTAAGAGGACGTCAGTGGATACTTGGGAGGATCTGAAGAAAGAGCTGATGGCCCAATTTTATCCCGAGAATACCGAGTTTGTTGCTCGCACCAAGCTCGCTGCTTTGCAGCATAAGGGTTCCATCCGGGAGTATGTCAAAGAGTTTTCAGCGTGCATGTTGGAGATCCACAATATGTCCGAGGAAGATCGCCTATTCAACTTTGTGCGTGGTCTTAAGGAATGGGCCCAAAGAGAAATTTGGCGCCAAAAGATTGATACTTTATCGGGAGCCATCGCTGCAGCCGAAAGGTTGATGGACTACTCCTCAGAGAAAGGACAAGGTTTGAAGAAAGGGAATAGCGGGCCGACACCGAACCCTCCTAGGAACTCCGGACATGGCTCGCAAGTGAGCTCCAACAACTCGAACAATAGATACAATAGGAGTGGGGGAGAAGACTCTCGGAAAAGTGGAGCTTCTTCCTTCTCTAGTAGAGGAAGCACCCCTAGTTCATCTTCGACAGCCAGGCCATTGACGTGTATCCTTTGCAGAGGACCGCACAAGTGGTTTGAATGTCGACACAAGGGAGAAATTGACAATCTCCAAAAGAAACTGTCCTCCATGTCCTTAGAAAACCCCGAGGGTGAAGAAGCCGATGAGGTAGTACCTAGTGAAGGAGAACATTCCAGACTGGGGGCCATTCGCATGATGTGCGCTATGGGAAGAGAAGGCTCTGAGGGCCAACCCAAAAACTCTGGATTGATGTATGTGAATGCGTTGGTAAACGGAAAGGAAACTCGTGCCATGGTGGATACCGGTGCTACCCACAACTTCATTTCAGAAAAGGAGGCAAAAAGACTTGGGTTGAAGCTCCTACCAGAAGGAGGCAGTATGAAAGCGGTGAATTCAGTTGCCAAACCGATCCACGGCGTTGCCAAGAAAGTAACAATGAAGCTGGGAGATTGGAGCGGACAGGTGGACTTTACCGTTGCGCCAATGGACGACTTCAGCTTGGTGCTCGGCATGGACTTCTTACACTTTAGTAAGGCAGTCCCGATGCCGCATCTTAGATCTATTCTGGTTCCCGGGCAGCAACCATGTCTCCTCCGAACCTGCGATTCGGGAAAAGGGCCGAAAGGGCCCCTCCTTTCAGCAATGCAATTGGAGAAGGGGTTGAAGAGGAACGAGCCCACGTTCCTAGCAACACTTTCCACGAAGGAAGATGAAGCAAGTGGAGACTTTCCGCCTGCAGTTGCCGAGCTACTA